ATGAAATGAATGAAATGAATGAATGAATGAATGAATGAATGAATGAATGAATGAATGAAGTGAAAATACAGGAATGAAACGGAATGAATGAATTACTGAATGAATGGAATGAATGAATGCATGAATGAAATGAATGAATGAATGAATGAATGAATGCATGAATGAATGAATGAATGAATGAATGAATGAATGAATGAATGAAGTGAAAATACAGGAATGAAGCGGAATGAATGAATTACTGAATGAATGGAATGAATGAATGCATGAATGAAATGAATGAATGAATGAATGAATGAATGAATGAAGAATGAAATGAATGAATGAATGAATAAATGAATGAATGAATGAATGAATGAATGAATGAACGAAGTGAAAATACAGGAATGAAACGGAATGAATGAATTACTGAATGAATTGAATGAATGAATGCATGAATGAAATGAATGAATGAATGAATGAATGAATGAATGAATGAATGAATGAATGAATGAATGAATGAATGAAGAATGAAATGAATGAATGCATGAATGAATGCATGAATCAATGGATGGATTAATGAGTGAATGAACTAATGAAGAAATGAATGAATGAATGAATGAATGAATGAATGAATGAATGAATGAAGCATTGGATGCATGAGTGACTGAATGAATGAAGGATTGAAGTGGAATGAGTGAATGAATGAAATGGAATGAACGAAAGAAAGAACGAATGAATGAATGAATGAATGAACTTGAATGAATGAAATTGAATGATTGAAATTGAATGAATGTAATGGACTGATTGAATGAGATTGAATGAATGAAATTGAACGAATGACATGTAATGAATGACATGGGATGAATGAAATGGAATGAATGAACGAATGAATGAATGAATCATGAAATGTATGTATTCATGCATGTATGTATGTATTTATGCATGTTCATAGGTAGGTAGATGTATGTTCGTGTGTGTGTGTATACATATATATATATATATGTAGGTTCATAGTGTCGGAGTATCTGTATCTGGCTGTTCAGATGGCTATTGTAAAGGCTCTGGCTTTCGAATTGCGTCGTGGGAATGCAATATTAGTTATACTTATATACAGTACCCCCAAGCAAGTGACCATTATTCAATACACGCACATACGCATACTTAATTTTATTTGTTCACCGTATGCATTACATGTTACCTTTGAGGATGTCTTTCTGGGGAGTCGACGGCCTTCTGGCTTGGAGGTACTCGCCAGGTTTCTATGATTGGCGATTGGATTTGGGGATAGGTTTCTGGTATACCCTAGAATCCCCACATGTAACCTCTGCGGAGGTAGGGCTTCCGAATTCGCGTGAGCAGTTTCGCGAGATCTTGTACTGAGCTGAGGAAGAGAATGGCAGGGCGCAATCCAAATCCAAGAAAGCATCCCCGCCGCCCAAGGAGCGAGGGTCGGGTTGGGGGTTTGGTTCGAGTTCTTGTCTTGCTTTTCGTATGTATGTATGCATGCTTATCTTTCGCGTTCATTCTTTCTTTGTCCCTGTCTGTCCTCGCTTTCTCTGTGTTTATCTTCTGTTGCCATTCCATTGATCCTTATGTTTTCATTCTTGGTCTTGCACCATTGGTGCTGCTAGACATCGTGTTATTTCGGACTGTACGTGGGCCGGGCGCACTCATTTTGTACCCACGTTCCTCGCCTGATATGATCTTCAGTCTGTGATTATTGATGGAGCCTTGCCTGCCAGTCCTGCTGTTTGCAATTTACGACATGTGTCTTGTCTTGTCCGCTTGTCCGCCCGGTTCCTAATTCAGATAGTTCGGGAACATCTCGGGTCGTTGCATATGCCGCTCCATCGCCGTTTCGTCACGTAGCTGTTTAGTATTCCCAACCACGGAAGTTGTCTCTCGTGTTGGTTGCGTGGCCGTCTAGTTTGCTTTCCACCGGATGCGACAGTCTTCGGCATGTGCTACGGGCTTCCCCGTTGCAGCTATCAGCTATACCATCAGCTCCAAAGACGCTCATAAGGATATTTCGAAACCTAGTCCAACCAAGGCCCAAAGCCCCATAAGCAACTGAACGTGACTCCGAGACTCCCAAACCCTACCCCTCCCCTGAACCCCAAGCGTGTCTCTAGGAGACCAAAGAGGAAGGAAAGGCTGGAGATGGCAAGAAGGGCAGAAGCGAGGCGCCTTCAACGAGCATTCGTTCGTAAGGGTTCAGGATTCCAGGATAGTTCTATGGAAGCCCGATATGTTGCCGCATTTCAGCAGCTCATTGGTGAATAGGACGCCCGGAGACTGTGCGGGCTCTGGGTGTGAAGAGTCCTTCGTCCCCAAAATTCCCAGGTAGTTCTGTGATGCACATGTGGGGCTGAGGCGTTCTTGCAGATTTTTTACGTAATGTAGCATATTCGACGAGTTCTTAGATTGAGGATCCTGTTCAGCTTAGGTTCGAAGCCGCTGCTGTCTGAAAACTGTAGGGAGTCCTAACCCCCCAGGTACCTACTATATAGGGTACTAGAGCCCCTAGGGCCCTATATAGTAGGTACCTGGGGGGTTAGGGGAATCTGTCCGGGGGCGACTGCTAGCCACGCAAGGTGGAGCCAAACGTTCTCACGACCTTCAACCGAGCTTCCGACTCTTGGAGCAAACCCTAGCGGGCTGAAGCCACTGCATACTAAGCCATAGGCCTCATAGTAGTTCTTATAGGATGCTAAATATGAACCCCAAAAGGAACTGCTATGGGGCCCATGGGTAACCAGCACATTCTTCGCGGCAATCTCCAGCAGCACCTAAGCACATCCCTGTATCTACCTGCTTGCACCTGCTTGCCGACCTACCGATCCACCTACTGTTCCTTACCACCGACCGACTGCCGGTCCGAATTTGTACACGCACCTGCACAAATGCAAGCATGCATGCAGAAACACATACGCAGAGGAGATAGCTGGATAGATGTATGCGTACACATGTAGTTGTACGCATGAATATATATATATATATATATGTATGTATATGTATATATATATATATGTACATATATATATATATATGTATATATTATGTGTATATATATATATATGTATATAGTACACACCCAAATCAAATTCTTGCTTACAATTTGACGAGTCGAAGCTCCGACTACAGACTTTCGGGGCAGCCCTCACTCCACCGAGCTCAGGTCATGCGTGTGATCCAGCAGGTTGGCTACCTCATGCGGGATCAGCACAAGATCATGGACTCGGTGATGGGCCTCCAGGTGCAGACCCTAAACCCTAAACCCTAACCCGTAGGGCTGGATATGGTGGTCGGTGTTGAGCTATAGTGGTCGTAATCTATGCAGAAAGCTAGCTTCGTGCATGGTGCTCTTGTGTGACAACCGTTGGGCAGCGAAGGAAACACGACAACCCAACTTAGGGTTTAGGGTTTAGGGTACTATTCCTGCACAGGCCCCGCATGATTCTGTTGTCGCGTCGAAAAAACTCCGAGCCCCGCGCCCTCTTTCACCCAAACCCACATTCCTAAAGTCCTAGACCCCCGATTAAATCAAGGCCCTCAAGCCCAAGACCCTCAAGTCTTATGGGCTCAAAGCAAAGTCCGGGGGCCCTAGGCCCGAACATAAACCCCAGCCCTCTGCGCCCTTGACCCGTCAACCCTCAAGCAGGGTTTATAGCTTTTAGGGTCCCCAAACCTGCAAGCGCTTCCATCCGGAAGCTCTGAACAGGACGACGAGACGACCAAAGCCGGCGAGGGCGTCCGCCAAGGTCGTTTCGTGCTCATGACGGATCGCCTCTTCGATCCTTGGACCGGCGCACATTGGGGGGTTTAGGGTTTAGGGTTTAGGGTTTAAGGTTTAGGGTTTAGGGTTTAGGGTTCATGGTTTGGAGCTTAGGTCCTGGGCCAAAACGCCTGTCTTTTGTAAGGCCTTCGCGGGATGTTGAGGTGTGTTCAGGATGTTCTGTTTTTTGTTGTCTCTGTTGTTTGTGGGGTGAGGTTTTGACAATTGGAGGTGTCTTCTGGATGTTGCTGGGAGCTTCTATCAGTCCATTATAAGTGTCTTGATCTTCACAAAACAGGGTATCTTTGATGATACATGTACTGGATCGCATGTGGTAGTCGGATTGGAAGGGGACAAGATGCTGATGATGGTACGGGCTTCTCAATCAACATGCATGTCATGTCCTTGCTTCGATCATCCAAGACGCACCGGCGGTAGCATTCATTGGAAGCCGATGCTTAAGTTGGACATGCCCGAAACCCCCTAAACCCTAAACTTGTTCAATCTGTATTACTTCGAGGAGCGCGGGACCAAGACTAAGGTTTCCGTGTAGCACAGGATTGACACAGTCCCGAGCTGGGGCTTTACATAATCCGTTCCGTCAAACAACGCGCACATCGACTGCACTTTGTGCAAGGACTGCTAGCAAGCTCACGTCCGGGGGGGTTTTGGTTTTTGGCACCCATGAATCTTTTCAGCCTTGCTGTGCCCGAACCCAAAGCTTGGACCACGCCCTCGAAGACATGCAACGGCCAAGGACATGGCTGACCGTGCCCCGCACGACCACTGCTCTTTTGTGCTGGCGGTTGTCATGCCTCTTGACTTCCTGGGCCGAAAGAGTGAAAACTTAAGTTTAAGTAGAGCTGGAACTACGGAAGCTCAGAAGACATGAGCATGGTTCGATCTTTGCTTGAGTTTGTTGAGTTTGTTGAACCTGACGCCCTAAGCTGCGCCCGGCATGCGAGCCTGCAACCTGACGAGGTTCCACATGATCATCAGGGCGCTGGCGCTTCGGCTGCTCTACCATCGGGCAGCCATCAGCCTGCAGAAGAGGCACCTCGAATCGTTGCTTTCTGGATTTCTGAGGATGTTGGAGTAGCGTTGAGTGAGAGATTCTGCTGAAGCAGGTACCGATACCTCAAAAAGAAGAAGAAGTCCCTCAATGCCGTGGCACCTGCAATCTGCATTCAGCGCTTCTGGCGTGGCCTCCGTACCGGGCTACAAATTGCAAGAGCTCTGGCTGGATAGATTGTATTTAAGGACGGTTTTCCGGGTACACACACATGATGAGCCACTTCGTCTACATCCCTGAGTAGGTTGGAGCATGGGTGTTGTCTACGCGTGGCTCTTCTCTCCTATCGTCTTGTTCGAGAAGCATACATGTGTGCATGTATATGTATGTATGTATGTATGTATGTATGTATGTATGCATGTATTCATGTATGCATGTATGTTTGTATGTATGCACG